GTAGGAAGGCGTCGTCGACAGCGTGCTGCCTTTCTCACCCTCATTTCACCGGGTGCACTGGGTGAATGTAATCACCCTCGTTGGAATTTCCCACTGTTGCAATCTGTGACTTAGTGTTTACTATCTAGAGTCCACTAGGCTGGAAAGTGCATCTCTATCGACCGTCCATCTATCTAAACTACTGGACCAAAAGAAGCCCTAGCTTGGTGATAAGTGATGGACATTCTTTAAGTAAAAGTATCGATCGGTTTTGTGCAGGAAGATTTTCTTACCTGTTGAGTAGATACATGGAGACTCCTGTGTAGTGGAATCTTGGTGTTGATGTCTCCAGAGACCCACAAATAACTGCTATAATGTCTGCCGGAGTATAATGTCTTTGTGCTTCAAATTCCTACGGATGGTAAGCTCTAATATCTAACACAAAATAACAGTATTTGTTTTTACTTTAACGATATTAATTGAAATTAGTTCTGAAAATTCAAGTAATTTTTCATTAAATATATATTTTAAATAGAATATATGTTTAATATCTACTGATATATCACAATGATACGAAGAAACATTTTTGGAACCGCTGACTTCATCGATAGATCGACTGGCGGTGTCTACAAATGATATTTATACAAAGCGAGGTACATAAAAGTGAAAGCAGCTTACTCACAGTCTTCATCAGCAGTTCCATATGTTCATTAATTCATTGTTCATGTATTAATGTGTCATTTGTGTATGTTTATTCACAGTTATTAACACGCACATACACCAAACAAACTGTCTCTACGATTTACATACATTTATAGCCACAACTATTCACCTCTTCTCGTGCAGTATGTAAGTCGGGAATGATTCCAGAAGTTCCCAAAAAGTTTTAACAATTTTGATTACTAGCACCATTTGCAGTTTCAACTATACAAATACAAACTAACTGAAGTACAGTGTTTTAAATAGTGTTTAGAAACATTTATTTGTATGTGAAGTTGAATATCACAGCTTTCTTAGACGTGTTATTCTTGGTAATAACGTGCTTTTTAATTTTACTTTTCTCGTTAATTTTGGCCAAGGACCTTCCTATGGAATATTTTCAGTCAAATTATGGGACATGCTGAATATTAATCTCAGATTTTCTTAAAATAAGCACTAAACCTTCTAATCATTCCTTACAGACACCTCCAAGTTATTCAATCGCGTCTACTTTTTACTATTCACTTATAATTTAGCTTACAGTTAATTTACCTTTCCCAAATTGAACGCGAAGGGTCACAGAACGATAATTAGTAGGTGATTTAATAAAATTACAAACGTCTGATATAGCAACGTAAACAAACCTTCCTGTGTCGTGTGTTTAGGGACCATTCATAACCTGACCCCACGCAGGGGTGAGCTGACCGCAGATTAGTGATATATTTTCATTAAGATTGATTTTTGTGCGATAAACCGGAAGTTTTAATACATTAGAGTTAGCCTCTTCGTCCTGGTCTTTAATACTATTAGGATATGACAGAAAAATTAAGCTTTCGTGACGAATAATTGTACAATAGGTTTGGTATGTGTTTGTCATTACTGCATGGCATGCCTCAAGGTTCTACATTTGGGCCCTTACTTTTTGTTGTGTTTATAAACGACATCATGATTGACTTACAAGTACACCATTTAATGTATGCAGACAACCTTCAGCTATTGTGTGAAATATAATGCACTTATATGCGTTGTACGATGCACTTGCTAGAAATTTTAGAGGGGTAGAGCTACAGACAGGGGGTGCAGCCACCTTACGCAGAACTTTCAAAGAGGTCGTTTCATGGAAGGGTGGTTTTCTATGGGCACTTGTGGCACATGTTAAATGCATACTAGGGGACCGACGCGATCGATATTCGTTTTGCTTTTACACCTACGCTATTCATAGTTAAATAAAGAAGGATATAATTATAAAGTTCCTACGTATATCTCGGATATTAATATTTTTTGGTTTAATTCAAATTTATATCATGGAGCACCCTAACAATTTTTATTAATCAGATATCTACAAAAAGCACTTTATAAACTGCTATGATTAATGACACCGTCTCACTAATGATCAATGCTGCGAAGTAAAAAAATCAATTTTCATCTCATCTAGAACAACAATGACGATGCTTTTATGGCTTTATAATTACATAGTAGTAAACAAAAGGAAAAAACAGTTGACAATCAAAAAATCCCACTTCTGATTACTGTTTTCTAGCCGCGTTGCAATACTGCTTTGGAATTCAAATCTGTTGATATATCGTCTGACTTTCCTTCAAAGGCGATGTAACTAATGCGACTATCTTTCCAAGGAATTTCCCAACCGCTGAGCTTCTGAATGAACCTGGAGGTTAATGGGGATTATATTTGACGTACAATAACTCCAGTATTAGGATGAATACACCAAAGGGGGAAGCGAAATGCGACTCGCGATAAATCCGCGTTTATATTTAGCGAACGGCGTCGATTTTCGTCCTCGGTTTAATGAGGGGCTTCAATTAAATTCTCATGGCGAGATTTAATGATGGCGAGGTGAAAAGCTTTCCATGTTCAGCGATGAAAGGGTCTTTCGATGGATTCAACGGTGCTGCTTGATTAAAGTACTTAGTTGCCTCGGTGAGAAACATTGGATGTATTGCTAATGGAAAAATGGCGCAGATTTGTAACTTTTTCAAATTTCCATAAAAAATGTATTCTTCATTTCTTTGGTTCGATTATCTATCGTCGTGATCTGATATTGCTTCACATGGTATTGATTTGAATCAGCTTCTCGTGCAACGTATAATCTTTATGCATATTCGTAAATAACCCATTGCCAAGCTGGCCTCAGATTCATGTTCAGCGGGTACGAAAACATAACAATAACAAGGTTTGATCAAAAGAGCATACCACTCATGTAAATATTTATTTAGCTTCTAAACAACTCTTTATATTTACTATAGTTGTATGGATAATTTTGAGACTAAACTGAACTTACAAGTAACTCTACACCTTCCTCTTGTGACTCCGTATAACAATACGGGACGGATTAGTCAATCTCATTTAATCTATTCTCATAGCTTGGAAAATCCGCCTAAAAACCAGCTACTTGATCGATTATTATTTTCCTCACAACATTCTAGCAACTTATTTAAATATTTTGGAATTCCTACGACTTTTCGAATGTATTTCGCGCGTTATTAGAAATATAGATTTTTCCCTTCACCATGGGATGAACCGACGCTACCAGATGCCCAACATATGGCCCCAACGGTCTAAGTGAACTTGTTCAAAAACATTGCTAAATTTCATGAGGCCTTCTCCGAAGGACGGCTTTGCAAATTTATTACTCCCGGTGACAAAAGGCACTAGTTTCTCGACGACTTTACGGCGACGCTAAACCTACTTGAAAACCCTTAACTTTTCAATAATTATTGTTGACGAAATATGAATTGGACCATCCGTTCCGAGAACTAACAAAAAAAACTACCACGCGTACCACCTTTTGTTACAAAAAAAATAGGAAACTCAAATTGAAACGTGTGAATGTACTCCAAGGCCCTATGTCAGGGCTCTTCTTATAAATGATATCCGATGTCTCAGAAGAGACACTGTGTTTTAGGATGATAATTTCTTTATCGTTATTAATATTATATTTGTTTCAACACTGCAGATTTCTGCTACTAAATTTTTTGCTTTGCTACTTAGAGATGTTCTGGCTTTTCCCAACATTACTTCGTAGAAAAACATACGAGTATATAAAAATGGAGCCTCGAAAATGAAATCCTATCCGATCAATAACAATCTAATTGGCTTTACAAATCCTCGTATATAAGTTAGCTGGTCGCCCATTTTCCCGCTTGACGTCGACTTTGTTGTTATTTCACTCGGCAGGGTTCCTGTTTGTTTGTTTTCAATGGATTATTTATAGAATTAAAAATAAACGCGAAGCAATACGGTTACGTACAACAGTAAGGAATTCTTTAACGCGAGTACGCAGAATTTTTTTAACAAATACTGGAGTTTGTTTAGAAATAATGTTTCACCAGAAACTTGATGCTTGTTTCAATTTGTAAATTGTCTTGTTTACGCCATTTTTTCGTTACACTCCTCATATTATTTATTTATAGATTTAATCTAAGGATAATGCTGTAAGAAAAAAAGTTTATTCTAAATGGTATTGGCTTGTTGAAGTCTTGTTAAATAGACAATATCTCTCATATCTCTTTAAAAAGTGATGTTGGTGTATTTTATCAACATACACACTTATCATAACCTTGAACGTGCATTAATATTTTAAAAAATGAGCTTGAGTTCTTGAATGGAGCCTTGTGGAATTTCTAATTATTTGCCTTTATCCCTGAGATCGTCCATTACTTCTTATTCTCGGTATATGGTCAACATAACAAAATCCTTAGACTTGGAATATCCCATGGGTGTAAAAAAGTGAAATTAACTTTTATTTTTTCAACCGTACGAAACCAATCACTAATATCATCGGCACATAGAAGATGCGGAGAACTATTTATAAGCTATATCGATCGTTAAACGTTCACCTTTTGACATTTAGAGAGAAAGCACCGGAGTAAAATAGAAGCCAAAGTCTCCAAACACGATCTGTTGACCGACAATAGAAGGAAAGGCATTGTGCATAGGGCTTTTCATAAAAATAATTGCTGACGTCTTTTGTAGCAGCCTTTAGAATTTGAGCAAATCGTATTTAAATACCAAGAAGGTATTATGTATTCACACAGAAAATATTATTTTCTCCTTTACCTCCAAACGTCCTCAATTAAATGTGAATATTGATTTCCCAGTTGTTGTGAAAATATTAAATTAGAATCGGGAGGTACAAAATATATAGGTCAAGTTTAATTGAAAATAGGTATTTATGAATCTAAGTCGTTTAGTTAAATATTTGAATAGTAACAGGCCGCGTCTTCTTCCACACATGTCTCGAGTTTCAATTGCATCATTATTAGGAGTTATCTAAGTTACAGTTAAACGTTTTTTTTTTCCAGTCTGACGGAAATACGTCCTTTCTGCGAGCTGCCCGAAATGGCCAACTGGACAAAGTCCTAGAACATTTGAAATCAAATATCGACATCAACACTAGTAATGCCGTAAGTATTTCCTCTTTTGCATTTAAATTATGGAGTGAATATAATATGGTGCGTCTACACGCATGTGGTGACGTCACTAACGAGACTTCGACGAAATATAAATGCAACAACTATTAAATTATTAATATTAAATTAAATATATAGCAACTCTGGAGTCTCATCTCGTTGCTGACGTCATGCGCCGATAGGACGAAATTGAGCCAGACTGCGAGCATACTATATTCACATCACGACTACAAATGATCCATTTACAAGATCATAATAGAGAGATTCCAGGTTTATCCATATTCTTAAATACCAGACTACTTTGCCGTCTTCAACGATCTCCTCTGACATTACCAATGACTTCCCTTTTAGAATGGCTTGAATGCCCTTCACCTCGCTTCCAAGGATGGCCACGTGGAGATCGTCGAGGAGCTGCTGAAGCGCGGCGCCGTCGTCGACGCGGCCACCAAGAAGGGTAACACAGCGCTCCACATCGCCTCCCTAGCTGGGCAAGAGGAGGTGGTGAAGCTTCTAGTACAACATGGCGCCTCCGTCAACGTGCAGAGCCAGAATGGCTTCACGCCGCTTTACATGGCCGCGCAAGAGAACCACGACAACGTGGTCAAGTACCTGTTGGCCAACGGTGCTAATCAGAGTCTCTCCACAGAGGTAAGCCATCTGAAACTGTGATACGGAAAATTGAACGGTTGTTTTTTTTAGGACGGATTCACACCACTGGCGGTAGCAATGCAGCAAGGCCACGACAAAGTAGTTACGGTCCTTTTAGAAAACGACACGCGGGGGAAAATCAGACTCCCAGCTTTGCATATAGCTGCTAAAAAGGATGACGTCAAGGCGGCTAAACTGCTCCTTGAAGTAAGACCTTTACCACTTTCAAATTTTATTTCTCAACCAACTTTCTTCTGTAGAACGAACATAACCCAGACGTTACTTCCAAATCCGGCTTCACGCCTCTTCACATTGCCTCCCACTACGGCAACCAACAAATCGCCAATTTGTTGATCCAGAAAGGCGCGGATGTCAACTACGCCGCCAAGCACAATATCACGCCGTTACACGTAGCCGCCAAGTGGGGCAAGACCAACATGGTGGCCTTATTGTTGGAGCACGGCGCCACCATCGAATCCAAGACCAGAGACGGACTGACTCCTCTACATTGCGCCGCCAGAAGCGGACACGAGCAAGTGGTGGACATGCTGCTGGAACGCGGCGCACCCATCAGCTCAAAAACGAAAGTAAGGGAAATTATAGTCTTTCTTATTCTTATTGTCTTCCTATGGAGAGAACTAAAACTAAATTCTAACTCCCAGTATATACATATCATATTTTTAATTATCCTTTCCAACTGTTTTATATCTTCCTGCTCTCTTTTCCATTTGGTATTTAATTTTTTTTATCCCACACTGAAGTTGCGAGAATGACCTTTGGTTATCCACACGTCCTCGCAAATTTCTTCCCATACCTTCTTTGTTCTTTGTGCCCATATCCTACTAACTTTCAATCCAAAAATTTGCACCACACTTGCAGATGTGCACCACCCATCCAATTTGTTTGCTTTAAATTAATTACAATGTCTCTTGTAGAATGGATTGGCTCCTTTACACATGGCAGCACAAGGCGACCATGTAGACGCAGCCAGGATCCTGCTCTATCACCGCGCTCCTGTTGACGAAGTCACCGTAGACTATCTGACGGCTCTTCACGTGGCAGCGCATTGCGGACACGTCCGTGTTGCCAAGCTGCTCCTAGACAGACAGGCAGATGCCAATGCCAGGGCCCTCAATGGCTTTACACCACTGCACATAGCCTGCAAGAAGAACCGGATCAAAGTGGTTGAGCTGCTACTGAAGCACGGAGCAAGTAAGTGATGATTGAAGATTTTTTCTATACTAAAACATGGAAAATTCAGACTTGTAAGAAAAAGAAACATCAAATGATACGGATGAGTAAAGTTTTGTTTGCGAGTTTCAATTTATTTATATAATTCCAATAGGAGATTAACGATTTATTTATACAATGGCGTTCTTAATGTTATAAGTCACAATAAAGACTTAGTTGTTTTTCAAAGCTTGTCGGAGTTCAAAATATATTTTATATATAACTCGATGTGTTTCTTGAATGTAAAGTTTTTAAACGGCGAACAGTTCTGGTTCGAATCTCGTTCAAGTTGAATCATTTTTCGTTAGAAGCAGAATGTAATATTGAGTGAAATAATTACAACACGAATGATAATATCAGCTAGTGTTAAAGTAGTGTACCTCAAGGATCTGTTCTAAGAGCAGTTCTTCTTTTACTTATCATAAACGTTTCGTCGAAAGCACTATTGACCTTCACTTCTTATAGGTATCGGCGCCACCACCGAAAGCGGTCTAACACCACTACATGTAGCTAGTTTCATGGGTTGCATGAACATTGTTATATACCTACTACAACACGACGCTAATCCAGACGTACCAACTGTCCGTGGAGAAACTCCCTTACACTTGGCTGCAAGAGCGAATCAGGTAATGTATAGAATCCAAGCGATTCCTATCCGATTCTATTAAATAGTATTTCAATTAGATTAATATCTGGTCATTTATGAGGTCACCAGACACGATTTTATCTTTCAACTATTAAAGGTCGGTAATTAGAAGTATTTTTTCTTGTTTCCAGACTGACATAATCAGGATACTCCTCCGAAACGGTGCTCAAGTAGACGCCAGGGCCAGGGAACAGCAAACTCCCCTCCACATAGCGTCACGTCTCGGCAACGTAGACATAGTCATGCTCCTTCTTCAACACGGTGCAAAAGTAGACAACACCACCAAAGACATGTACACTGCTCTGCACATCGCAGCCAAAGAAGGACAGGATGAGGTAATCCAACAGAATTTTGGCAATAGGTCCTTGTATAACAATATTTTTTTGCTCCAGGTTGCCGCCGTTCTTCTAGACAACGGCGCCTCCCTAGACGCCACTACGAAGAAAGGTTTCACCCCGTTACATCTAGCCTCAAAGTATGGACACCTCAAAGTGGCTAAGCTGCTCCTCCAGAAAGAAGCGCCTGTGGACGCCCAGGGGAAAAATGGCGTCACTCCGTTGCACGTCGCGGCACACTATGATCACCAGAACGTAGCGTTGCTACTTCTTGATAAAGGCGCGTCTCCACATGCGACAGCCAAAAACGGACATACTCCTCTTCACATAGCGGCAAGGAAGAACCAGATGGACATAGCCAATACCCTCTTGGAATATGGAGCGCAACCAAACGCAGAAAGCAAAGCTGGATTTACACCACTACATCTCAGTGCTCAAGAGGGTCATGCCGACATGTCGTCGTTGCTTTTGGAGTACAAAGCTGACCCTAACCACGAAGCAAAGGTAAGATATTTGAAAACAATGTATATAATTAAATTAAATCAATCTTATCTGCAGAATGGACTCAGGCCGATTCATTTGTGCGCTCAAGAAGACCGAGTACCAGTGGCGGAAGTCCTGGTCCAAGCCAAGAACGGCGCTGACGTTAACGCGGCCACTAAGGGTGGTTACACACCCCTGCACATAGCCAGTCATTACGGCCAGATCAACATGGTGAGGTTCCTTCTGCAGCATGGCGCAGATGTGAAATCTACCACATCACTGGACTACACCCCCTTGCATCAAGCCGCTCAACAGGGACATGCGAATATCGTCAATATCCTGTTGGAGCATAACGCTGATCCTAACGCTGTGACAACGGTGAGTTCAGATTTTACAGCGTTAAGATGTTTGTTTGGTTGCATATCCCTGAATACTTTGCTGATAGAAATTTCATTTTGTCAAATCGTCGTAAATTTTAAATCTGCGATCCCCTTGATGTGTTTTTAATCAATTTTCTTCAATATAATTAAAAAAATTGATATTTATTAAATCCCTGATACTAAATAGTTGCGCCTATCTCGATCGTGGTATTTTTCATCTCGCGGAGCAAAATAAAAAAATTGAACGCACGTAAACATGCAGTATTTACAAATCCTATTTATAGAAGCCACTGATACTATGTAAATGTGTTGTCTTCAAAGCAACCTTCGACCGATTTAAGCTATTGTTGGTGTTTCTCTCACACATTCCCAGATTGTTGGGCGATCTTAACGCCGAGCAGATTTTTGTCAAGGGCAAGGTCCAATTTTATGTCGTTTACGCTGACTAACTAGCTTAATTGGTTGCATTTCATGTGCCTGTTTTTCTTATTTGTTTAAATAATATCACGTTCCATCATGGAAAAGTAATTTGAAATATAAACAACATCTTAACTTATATCTTTACAAATACATGTTCAGGAAATGTAAACAATTTAAAATAAGCAGCTTATGAACTTAAGATTATTTTGGTAAAAAAATAGATAGAAACACTAAATACAAAATTAATTTTCTCCATAATAAATAACTGAAAAAAAGTATCATTAGATCTGAAATAGTAATTCACCCTCACTTCGTTATATTTCCTTTGTTGTTAGAATGGACAAACACCTTTGAACATAGCCCAGAAGCTGGGCTACATCACTGTGATCGAAACTCTGAAGGTTGTGACCACCACCACCACTATTACCACCACAACCACCACCAACATTGAGGAAAAATACAGGGTTCAAGCCCCAGAACTGATGCACGAGACCTTCATGTCAGATTCAGAAGAAGAAGGAGGTAAGTGGTGTATGACCTTCATTATTTTTACTAGTACCTAGATAGTGACAGTCTTAAAGATGTGAGAGAATTTACCAAATGGGATACATATATGAACTAGTAATATGTAATGGAGAAAATTTAGTCAACTTTCGAAATTGGATCTTAAAAATGAAGATGCTTGACATTTATTTAATCTACTACCTTTATGTCTTTTTGATTTATTGAAACAACGTATTTGGATTCGTAAAAAGAAGTTTCTAAGTTAGATGCAATTCTGTAAATATAAAAGAAATTGTAGATAATTAAACTCAGACCAACTCTGTGTTTGCGACGGAAGTTTCAGTTGCAGTCATTGTTACATAAAGATCAGCGTTAAGCATTTTTTTCTTCTACCGTAAAATCAAAACTTGAATAACCGTGATGTAAATACATGTTCCTGGAACACATTGTCGTCTTTATAGCACTGGCCGCTGTTCGCTTTCAAACAGTGTCAATGTCAAAACGCGCACCTTTGAAACCGACGTCTAATTATGGTTTACTGAATGACTGGTTTAGATATTAAATGCATTGCCTTAACTGTGACACAGAACAGCGATAATAGAACGGATCCGAATGGGAATTTAAAAAGATTCGACCCGAACAACCTCCATACTAATAGGGCTATTACTAAATTAGGTTCATTTGAGGAACACCTACTAGGACCTACGTAAAATTATCAAATATTGTTCGGAGTTCATGAAATTCTATGCGGATTATGTCAGCTTCTTTAAATAATAGAATAATATGCAACATATTTGACTTCACTCTAATCAGAATTATTATTATTTCAAAACTTGAGGACTTGTTTGAAAAATATATGGTAGGTTAAAGCTTTTATAATTTTTTTTATAGCTCAAATATCGACGTTTGACTTGCTTCAGAAAAGCCTTCGCCCGCTTGTATCTTTACGATCGTATTCACGTGTCAGTTTATTATTTTTTAATGGTTGAAAGAAACCGGCAATCCCATAGCGTGGGCCCCTCATTTGGCGAACATTAACAGCTACAAAAAATATAATCGCTGCATGCGCCACATATTATGGGGAAAATGATCTCATTGGAGACACCTTGATCGGCACAGACGAACCGGATGACGTAACTGTTAACGAATGCAGTTAAAATAGAAAGTGATAAGTTTCATTATCGTTTCATTAATAATGCAACAGATAAAACTATAATCATTTAGGAATCCAGACTTTCGCGCTAGATATGAAGCGAAGCATACGCGAAAAAAATAATTAAACTGTATACTATACGGGGTGTTACTGGTATACAGGAAATTCGTTCTGGAATAGCTTTAAGACAAGTCAAATTATAAAAACTCTATAATAGCCACCCAGAACTGAATTTTTCTACCAAATTTTGAAATCTAGCATTGTCTTTGTAGGCTTTGCCTTGCCTAAGCACTGGTTCGGAAGCTTCTTGGAGCTTGTGTAGGTCTCTTTAGAGTACTCAGTTTTTTTAAAGTTTCTTGGAGCTTGATTTATCCAGAGTTGTAAGGTATCAGAGTAGATGTTCGAACACCTCCTATGGCGGCTCCGCAGAGATCCTACGGCGGCCGTTGCCTAAAATTTTCTTGAAGCTTGTGTAGGTCTCCTTAGAGTACCCACTTTTTTTAAAGTTTCTTGGAGCTTGATTTATCCTCAAGTGTAAGGTATCAGAGTAGACGTTCGAACCCCCCTATGATGGGTCCGCAGCGATCTTAAACCGGCTGTCGCCTAAAATTTGGATCATCCGGATTTCACCGATCTTTGGAATCTGTTCGACTTTGTACCTGAACTATAATTTGGTATTGTAGCTCATATTTTTATTGCCCTGCCTCAATTCGAATTCCGATTTCAGAAATTTTTTATTTCCCAAAATTTGAAACTGTGACCGTTAGGTCTCCATCGGTGTCGTCTGCTGCGACTTTGGTTGGTTGTTTGCTGGAGAGCTCTCTGGAGCATCGGCTCGAACTACTTTTGCAGGGGTTGCCATCACGTAGATGCTCTGGAGATAACTTCGTAGCTCAAATTGGAAAGAGGAGTGAAAAGGCTTACCATTTAACTAAACTGATCTTATTGTTAGCGCAAAATCTGATATTAAGAACAGTGTTTAGATTTTCAATTTTTATTCTGACTTTTGGAAATTATTCTGGAAATATTGATCTGAAAATTAACAAATAAGGATTTTTTTAATAATAAACGTATAGATAGTCGTAATTTATAAATAAAAAGGTAATGTCGCTGAAATTAACTGTAAGAATCCCTTTTAGGTGGAACACCGTGTATACATCAATTTCTTGCCTTTTTTAATGCTTACCAACATTTGCTAGAAGGTGATATACAGAGCGATATTATTAACGTTAAAAAGTTTGAGCCGGCCCTGGAATTCTTTAATAGTATATTACGCTTTTGATTTAGTCAAAAGGATACGGTTACAATATTGTATAAAAAAATATGTAGATGATTTAAAGTCATAGCGAGTTACATCACATCCAGGGTCCCATAAGAAAAAATTGTCTATTTTTTATGTTCGGAAAGCTAGGGACGGACATGGATCTAGTTTTATATCACTTGTAACAAACGAAATGTATAAATGTCAAGGCGGCGCAAGCAGAACCTTGGAAGGCTTTCGTTTCGCCAAAATAATAAACATAAATATTGACAAGGAACGGTTAAACGTGGAAAAATATCCCAGAATTGTAAATTCTCTCACAAATATTACCAAGAGGTGGGTGTAACCAGTCAGCATGAGACGCTAGCACAGCGAATGTAGCTTATTATTTAGGATCACTTAATAATTGCATGAATCATCTCCATATTTAAACCCATTACCTTAGAGTGGTTTAGTAAACAGTTTATTTGTTAACATTAGGAGTTTGGTTACAAGGTTTTGCCTTCGTTGTGCCGTGCTGATTTACAAGTGAGCGGTATTCCGTGCGCGATAGAATAGAGATTTATTTGGTGGTGCCTTTACGCGATTTTTTTAAATATTAGTGGTGGTGATATCGATAAATATTGGTAAATACTTAAGTGTGGTTCAGTTTTTGCTCGAAGGATAGATATAAGGCGAACATATGGGGAAGAAAACTTATTTCGTTAATAAAACTATAAGTAAGTAAATTGTAAAAAATAAGGGAATACTTTGTCGTCTGTGAAATTAATGGAAAAACAGATATTAAAAAATGATTGTCAGGCGTATCGCAAAATCCATATTTTTCAAATTCAAAGATTGTGAATAATTTTATTTTCGTTTTGTTAATATCAAGTCTAAATGTGGATATATTTTTTTGTAATCCAAAATACGTTTTTGTACAAGCAATTAGTTAACTAAAAGTATCTGCTATTATTTTATATTAAACATCAAATAAACAGCGCTTTAATATTTAGAAATGTAGTCACTTGTTCTACTTTTCAATCTATCTTTATTGGGTCACTATGCTATTCATTTTTGTGGTGAAATAATTTATTGTTTAAAATACAGTCAAAAAAGTATTACTATAATTTTATTGCCCTTTATGACGGTGAAGGGTATGTACAGGGTGATATACTCTATTTTTCCCCCCCCCCCCCCAATTAACTTTTTTGTTTTAAGAGTTATAAAAAAATGTGAAACACAAAAGTAGCACGATTTTTTATGAAGTTATTCTCCATACTCTATTTTAATTCCTAATAATATTTCAATTTTCTACTTCTGTGTAACCCATTTTAATTAAATAATAATACAAACCGTCAGTCAATAACAATGTTATCATGACATTACTACCTGTCACTGTCACGACCTACTGTAACATTGTCCATTAGTAAATAGACCTCTCACGGCCTAATTAGTGCGGTATAGTTAAAATACCTATATGTATTTTGGACTATATCAATGTCCGATATGTCAAAATATTACAACTAAATCTGTAAATCCTTACATAATTGGAAAAAGGCAGAAATGCCTGAAAGAGGTCTAACAATTACAAAATGTCTTATTTTCTTAATAAAAAACCTTTTCGTTTTTTAATATTCGCTAATTGTTAGAGGTGGACCCAACAAACCCTATATATGACTATGCTCGACAGGGAATGTTCTATCCAAATATGTAAAAATATATAGGGTGTTCAATTTAAATTAACAAAGTTAACATCCGCGGCCATTTTGTTTAGACTTCATTTGTTTTTCTATCATTTTCGAAAACTTCTTAAAAAATCGTGCAACTTTTGTATTTCACATTTTTTATAACTCTTAAAACAAAAAGTTAAAGGGCGGTCAAAATATAGTGAATCACCCTGTACAATGGTAATATAAAAAACTAACTCGAAAGAAGTGACGCTAAGTTTTTTATTTTCAAAAAGTTTTACATTGATAGTTCATGCAATAAACGCGCTAGCAGCAGTATAAGTTAACGTTAATAAAACTTTAACCCTTTTTATTTCCAAATTACCAAAAAAATAAGCCCTATTTAATGCAAAAAGAGCGAGTTCTCGAGCGGCATTTGCCCGACCCTGGGACAATTTGTTTATAACGTTGTTTTGCATGTCCTACTTTGTTAGTTGTAAAGGGCTACTTAATTTGAACATTTTGAAATTTTTCTTTTTCGATACGTTTCCTTGGATCAAATATTAACAATACATAAAATGGTTATTGTTTTATATCATTATAAAAGTGACAATGACATAAAAACACTGACCACAAAGCTGTCAAAAGGAATAAAGTCTAAAAGACACAACTATTGTTTACTTAAAATAATGTACGTAGTTGTTCACATCAAGTATAAAAAATCAGATGAATACTGAGCACAAAAAATTTGCAAGTTTGCCTTGGTTTGAAACTATGTATACTCCACCTAAAACAATAAACTTTTAATTAGCAAACTGAATCAACTGTTTATGTCATTAGAAAATTGCTATTACATCACGTCACCCAGAAGCAATTCTATAACTCTCCGGAATACAAATATATTTTTAAAAAGAGAAGAGAATATTTTTTCGTCGCAATAACAGTTTATTATTAATTAATTAATGATGCAGTAAACACAAATGTTTATATTCATGAACTTGCCGATACGTTGTACTGTTCTATAATAGACTTTTTGTGAGGATAAAGCGATATCAATTATAGGAGTCAATATTATTATATTATTATAGTTATTAATAATTCATCAGGCGCCACATATTTACTAAAAAAATTGATGAATGCGCCTCAACAACAAGTATTTACTTTATTTACAGAGCTTGTGTGTATTCTTATTCTATTTATAAATTTAATGAGTATACAGGATGATTCATAAATGGTGAAAAAATGAAACCTTGTATTCTTTGGTTAATTTTAAGACGAATCTTTCCTATAAATTTTTTTATCTAGGGCGTTTCATTAAAAAGATACAGTGTTAAATTTCAAAAAATATTTTTAATTTTTTTAAATAATTTAAAAACTAGTAAGTGAAATAATTTTGAAATTAGGCACATGTATTTATGTAAACATTGTCCAAAATCCGAGGGCTTTTCCTAAAATTTACATGGTCCAGTGGCGGAGATACAGGGTATCAGTGGCATATTTTTCTAAATAAAATAGTACGCCACTACTTTACGGTAACAACCATGATATTTTCGGATTCGTCTTTCAATTTTATACAAATTACCACTCTTATGTTTTTCAAAAAAAGATCGATTTTCGAGTAGAACTTAAAAAAAGAACTGAGAATACACTTCGATTATAATGCTTTAGAAAAGAAAGAATAAATAATGTTTTTCATCAGATTTGAGCAATAATAAATTTCGGACAAATTACATTTTCTTTACTAAAAAGATGTCGGGCCTATGTTCGTGGAAATGGAGGTATTTTTGAGCATTTACTCAAATAAAATCATAGTCCTAGATAGGAAAGATTCCCCTTAAAAGACGAGGTTTCATTTTTGATCACCATTTGTGAATCACCCTGTATTTATACTGGAATATAATTTTTAGACATGGGTAAAAAATATTACCTATGTATAACGATTATCAGGAAATAATTTTTTGATCATTAAAACAATTAAAAAAAAATCGCAAGGCAAATAGAATAAATTTTATATTCGTGTTGTTAGGTACCTCTAATTGCCAAAATATAAATAAATTTTTAGTAAAAGAATAGTGTGATTTTGTTCGGTGGCAAAAGTAACTCTTTCAATTTTTCACAAAATTAAATAAAAAATAAAAATACTTCCTCTAATGTAACCTTATTTATCTATTGGTGGCCTTGTCTAAAAACGCTGTTGATTTGCAACAATTTTATGCTTTTTTCAAATTCCATTGTCTTGTGTCTAACTTCCTGCGATTCGTTTCTGTTTATTGTTATTTTTTCTATTCTGAGAATTAATATTCATTATAAAAATTAATATCCATTGTATAGAAATAAAATCAATGTACTGGGTGTTCCCTTTTTAAACGTGCTAACTTTAACAATTGATAGAATACTTCATTTCGAACAAAAAAGTTTATGTGAACAAAGATCTTAAATCGCTTCGTAACCGAGATACAGGGTGTCGATGCTGCTCGGAGATTTAGTTCACAGAGTAGTAGTTTCCTACAGTACCATTAGCTAAAAAACAGTTAACTAGAATATAGCAACCCTCAAACACCCCAGAAACGAATACGCTTTGTGCTTACTGTGCTTGTTGTCGACCACACTAACAATTTAACCACTGAATAACGACTGATCATCAAAACAGGGGAGGATATTTTGGACGCTTTCGGTACTGCCCTTCACGAACGCCACGTGTACCTCCCATATTACAACGGTACATCACTAGTCAATCGTAAGTTGCGAACCCATGAAAACATTCACCCTTTACTTACACTAAATCCTCAGTATCTTCAGTTGTCATTTTCGACCTTATGTTGCTGGCTGACACGCTTATTCTTTACTCAAACACCCGAGAGTCCACTGGTACCTGGTTTTGCCTAGAGTAAGCTCCTTCAGGTTCCTCAGTTCGAGGCGCCCCAGGGCTCCGTTTCTGGCCCTGTGGTGTTTGCGATCCGCATAAATGACTATGACGAAGTAACAATTAACTGAGGGACTATTTTCTGTGGTGAAACCATACCGGTCGACCCTATACACAACCAGGCACCAACAATACCTTCACACCGATTTCTTTCTTCTAGGGGAAGACACGGTACTGGGCGACCAGACCTACAGGTACCTTACGGCAGACGAGATGAAGTCCTTGGGAGACGATTCTTTGCCCATCGACGTAACCAGAGACGAAAGAATCGACTCGAACAGGATGGTTTCCAGTGCAGACAGCAACATGCTACCTCCTCAACACATAGAGGATAGTATCAGTCCTGAGCACGTCACTCAGAATTATGTGGAGTACATCAAGAAGTACACTCCGGATAATGTCGATCTTGGCAGACATCCCATCAATATAGGGTGAGTAGCATCGCTGATTATTTAAGGTTTACGGAAAAGACATGTTGGCGTGAAGAGAAGAGGGAACGCACAGGGAAAAAGTTATCTTTATCAGAAGATAAAAAAATAGAATCTCTTCTCCTCGCGCACCTCAGTTTTCTCATCTTTAACGCAGTTTGTTTCTGAGTGTACGTATACTAATATCTGTTTTTGTTTACTTAATGCTTCAGGAAGCTTCACTGGAAGAAGTAAGTGATTCAAACAGCTTTGTTGTGGCAAAAGCAGACCTGTGACACAATCTGTACGGCATTAGAGTTTACTCAGATGTCACGCCATTATTTCCTGTCAGCGATTAACATTTTTTGTTTAATCGTAAATTATTCACACTGCAAATTGAGATTTCGCGGAAATGTATGATGCTATATACAGATTCTGTCATGACAGTCACGTGGATGAAGGATGCATGCAAATATTTCAAGAGATGATACAGAATTTTTTTTATTTAGGGTACAAAGTTAATTTTAATTTATACAAGGTGAGTCAGATAAATAAAACTAAATTTGGCGCGTATCATTTAGCATTCTTAAAATACTTAAAACAATTGTTTTTTTAATACAGTTCAGTTCTTTGCTATCAGAAAGAAATATTTGTTCTAAGACTCCATTCACACTAAATGCTTTTAGGTACTTTTTCTGTTATCCTTAAATATATTTCACATACCTCTAGCTTGGCAATGCACTACTCAAAAAAATTATACGTAAATAATGAGAGTGGAAAATTTTACAATCTACAGAAAAAAAAGGTTTTGGATTATTATTTTTTACTTATTTATATGCTGGTGTAACTGTAACATAATATTTATGTGTCCTTACTCACTGGTCTCCTTTAAACTTCGACGAAATAATTAATATGTAGTAATCAAACCCAAACAAATATTTCATAATTTACGGGAGGAAATGTACAGGAAATATATATAAAACCGAGTGATTTTTTAATAAAACTCTAAAACATCCCCAATAGGGAAAATAGTAACTCCCTGCTGAGAGTGATAAGAGTATTTGAAAGATACGGCAAACTGCAAATCGAATTTATATTCATTGTTTATCATTTTTAGACATTTGCCTATTTTTACTCAAATGGCTCAATTTTTTAAAATTTCAGAACGCATTTCTTTGGGTGGTAAATACAGTTTGGGCCATTAGTGTGAGAAAGTAAAATAACTCCCTTGTTACTCATAATACAGAAAAAAGTATATATATATTGTACAGAATCAAGAAACCTAATAGTAAAAACGGGACACGCCAAAGATTACATTTTTTAAATGGAACACCCTGTATATTTTTAAACATATGGATTTCCGAGAAAATTCTATATATCGCAATATAAACAGTTTATCATTTTAATGCGGGGTTGCCAAGTTATGTAGAAAATTCTTCGAATTTTGAAAAAATACATGACCTCGAAGAAGTTGTATTAACTTTCAGCTACTAACACTTGTAACAAAATAATTAGACAGAGTTATAGGCAAATGTTACACAAAGGCTCCTATATTAGCTAATATCGATATTTTATACAGGGCATTTTTTATAATACGATCATTTTTAGAAAGTTTAAACTTGATTTCCTAAATTTTTTCAAATGGAACGCCCTGTATTTTATTGTTCTATTTTATTCACATATCGGTTCACTTCAACTTTTATTAAGCATGTTCTATATCTAAAATTGTTAGTTTTTAAGATATAGCTACATTTCTGAAAAAACTTAATTTTTATTATTTTATAGAATTCCACAAATAAATATTAAATAACAAAATTAACTCAAAATGGAATGATAAATGAATTGTCAAGTTGACACAATGTGACAATTTTTTCCAAAGCCATTTCGTGCGAGCGAAAATAATAAAAATTAGTTTTTTCCAGAAATTATCTATATCTTAAAAACTAACAACTTTAGGTGTAGAACATACTTAATAAAAGTTGAAGTGGACTGATATGTGAATAAAATAGAACAATAAAATACAGGGTGTTCCATTTGAAAATTTTTAGGAAATCATGTTTGAACTTTCTAAAAATGATCGTATTATAAAAAATGCCCTGTATAAAATATCGATATTAGCTAATACAGGAGTCTTTGCTTAACATTTGACTATAACTCTACCAAAAGTTTTTGCTCCAAGTGTTAGTAGTTGAAAGTTAATACAACTTCTTCGAGGTCATGTTTTTTTCCAAAATTACAACCTTGGCAACCTCGCACTAAAATTCTAAACTGTTTATATTGCCATATATTGAATTTTCTTAGAAATCCATATGTTTAAAAATATATACGGTGTTTCATTTAAAAAATGTAATATTTGGCGTGTTCCGTTTTTACTAATCGCCCTGTATATTTCAAATGAATTTTGTCCTTTAGTTTTTTCATTCTGTACAACTTTTATATAAACTTTTTTTCTGTATTATAAGTAACAAGGGAGTTATTTTACTTTCTCACACTAATGGCCCACCCTGTATAAATTTCTGTGTACTTTTCGATCCGCCATAATGAATTTAAGGATTTCTCAATTCAAACTTTACCTTATTAGTGATTTTTACATCCGTCTTATTATAATCTCATATTAATTTCAAAATATCTAAAATTTCAAAAAAAAAAACAGCTGTAGGTTCGCAAAATTTTAATAATTATGAGCTTGAATGTGCAAATACCCAAACGCTGGCGAAACGACATAACTTATTATATTTTTCTCTACTTTCAGTTTCCTGGTTTCATTCCTAGTGGACGCCAGAGGCGGAGCAATGAGGGGGTGCAGGCATTCAGGCGTCAGAGTAATAGTGCCACCTAGATGCGCTCCTAGCCCAACAAGGATCACTTGCAGATATGTGAGACCACAAAGAACGCCTCATCCGCCTCCCTTGATGGAGGGCGAAGCACTGGCCAGCAGGGTGTTGGAACTCGGGCCAGTGGGAGCCAAATTTTTAGGGTAAACAAATTTATATCGTGTAAAAGCAATATTCTTCTACCTTTGACATTGACCACAAATTTAATATTTTGTTTTCGCGGTTTTTAACTTTGTAAGAATCTGATTTATTGCTATTTGCAGGCCAGTGATCATCGAAGTGCCACATTTTGCTGCTCTTCGTGGTAAAGAACGCGAAATCGTGATTCTCCGATCAGACAACGGCGACTCTTGGAAAGAACACACAGTAGATGCAACTGAGGAGGTTCTCAATGAAGTTCTCCACGATAGCTTTGAAGCAGAAGGTGAGTACTTGGTCATTTGTTTTGATATTAAGACATGAAATTTAAAAAAAAAAACGTGGAATTAGGTCTTATTCACCAGACACCAAGGCACCTATGTTTCATTTGCTTTGTATTAGCCCTGATTTAACGTCATCCAAAAATGAAGATACCTAATAGTTTAACAAGTAAACATTCAAAACATCACCGTACGATTGTTGCTTATATTTGTCGACAAGATCAAGAGAATCCAACTAGATGCAGAAGATGATAGAATACATTTTAGTGAGCTTTGAAGTAATGCTAACTCCCAACTAAAGAAGCTTTAGAAGAACTTCATAGAATACTCATCGCAGAAGAATGATGACAATTTAGTAGACTTGGTCAAAGTTTGCACCAGTTGTAGCTGTTTTCTCCTTCAGGGGTTTTATGAACAAACTGAAGCAGCAGAGTTCATCCCTATCTCCATTTACATGGAAGTCTTCGAAAGGAAACAAACTGGAATCGGCAACTCTAAAGGCGAATATTGGCGATATATTTATGGAGAATATTGTACTCTACTCCATACTTGATCTTCTGCATAAACTTTTTCAGAATGATTGAGTGCTATTGTAAAATGAATAGTTTTTTTTTGACACCCAAACAATTCGAGTTCGATTCTTTAGATACGTTACTGCACCTTCTTCTTTATTTCGAATGTTGGGTTATGATCTCGGAATTAAGGGTATAATAGCTCCGTTCTTACTTCCAGATCTGAATCAGTTGGAGGACATGTCCTCGGGTCGTATCACCCGTATCGTCACCCAGGACTTCCCCCAGTACTTTGCCGTGGTCTCGAGGATCCGTCAGGAAGTTCACGCTATTGGACCTGAAGGTGGCATGGTGTCCAGCACGGTGGTGCCCCAGGTACAAGCCGTCTTTCCCGAGGGAGCCCTTACAAAGAAGATCAAAGTGGGACTACAGGTAAATCTGTTCAAACCACGGAAAGGTGTGCCGTTGGAAAAATTGCGTAAGATCACCGTCAACCACATACCAAAAAAGAAACGGTGGTCGTTGATTTGGTAAAACAGACCATGGGGAGGGGAAATAATCCTCAGATTTTTTTGGTATTTCTTGAAGTTCGCGATATCCATCTTACCCTTCTTTACTTTTGTTCCATTGCTATTAAAATAAATTTTGAGCATTGTTACTTTTACAACGAAGAGTTCTTGGCACTATTGAAGTTATGAATTTGCAAAGCAATGTTCATTCCTATACTCATCAAAATGTACCTTTTATAGCATTCTCCACATTATAAACATATACTTCCAAGAAGAAATTTACTAAAAGTAATATCAAAAGAATTTGGGGCAAAATGCTTCTATTTCCTACATCCCCGCTATCAATATCTGAAACATGTTTAACTGAAGCAGGTTCATGATTGTAATGCCAAAGTGTTTACTGTACATATGACTTGTTAATTTTTGAAAATCAATTTTTGGATATATATTAGATTTTATATTGGTACTAACAGATGAAGTACAATGGTATTTTTTGACCTAGTCCTGTTGATTCTAGTCACATTCGAAAGGGTTGTTTTTGAAACCCCCACGTGTGCTCCAGAACGCCGAAAGAGGCCTATTTTATTTAACCATCGATCTTACCAAACAGATGTTTTTATTCGGATGAAGCAGGAAATACAGAAAACATACGTCTTTGACATAAATGGAAAACCTTAACGATATTTTTCACCAATAATTAACAGTGTTCTACGAAAATAAAATGTTGGGAACTCTGCTGGATATCAAAAAGAAGACAAATTATAAAAATTACAAAGTTTGCTTCACCATTCGTCAATGTAATTACATAACTATAAATGTATTTCCTGAAAAAAGATCCAAATCAAGGCATCCCAGTTCATTATTAACCATATAGTTACCCCTCTGAGTTCTACAGTACAAATATATTCGTAGATGATTAGCAAATGATTTGAGCGATTGCAAAGCAAGTAAAAAAAATCCATTTCTATGTAAATGAGTTATTTTATCAACATACATAACAAATTAAATTATTATACCTATTTATTGCGGTTTTGCATCATATGTAACATAAAATTTATATTTTTTAAATAGCTGATAGTATTTTCGTACGTTTCGTAAAGAATATTAGACAATAAAGGTAAAATGGCTTTTGCAGATCCAAATCTTTAGTGTACCTATTTAATATTAAGTGTTGTTTACTAATTTACTTTGTTTTGCAAAGGAGTCGCAATTTTATACTGGCATAATGCTGCAATACTATTTTACTTCCATGAGATGAATTACGACAAAGTACTTGACAGAATAACTTAGGTACCACTGAAATTGGTCCATTGAGTAATATATTTTTCCATACCATCAACAAGGTGATACACATATATCTAGTTTACTACTTTTAAAAATAAACCCCAATTGGGACCGATTTAGTTGTCTGTAAAAGAAAGTAGTATCCGGTATACTGAAATCATTTGGTCTTGCAAGATCATCAAGGAGTTCTTGAATACTTTTTTTTTTATTTAGAGCTAGAAAATAGTCGCGTGCTTATAGCAAAGGGACCTTAGTGCTTGTGCTTCTATGAAATTGCGATAACTTTGACTATTCACCCTCTCATCATAAATAATTTAAGTCATTTTCATGTATCTTAACTGACTGTAAGTTCATCACTGGTTTTCTCGCACCTATCTCGAATGTATACAGTATGAGTGCCCAATAAAATTGAGTTGAAACTAATATTACTAACTTTCATTCAAGTCATTCGAAACACACGTTGGCTGCAACATTTTTGGGCACAAAGTCATCGGTCGTCGACGGGTTGTGGCCAAAAATCTTGCTTGAGCCGTACATTTCGACAAACAAAGCATGGTTCGCAGAGAATGAATGTTACCTTTAACAGTGCCGTGGTCGAAGAAAAAAAAATATAGATATTTTATTGGGCTCTCAGCTCAACTGTCTCATATCATCCCTCATTTCATTATTATTTGCACGCTAGCTGCTGTATTTTTGTGTTTTGTTCGCTCTGGAACCTTGCTTTGTGTCATGCCCTTTCCCTTATCCTCACTCCTTTGTCTGCTATGGTCTTGTGGAGGTAAGTATGCTTCGCTTAGGCTACTAGATCATCATGCAGTTACAGTGAATAAAAGATTACAAAAAAGTTCAGGTAGTCTCTTGACCATAATCATATGAAAACAAATTAATGATTTAATGAAGATAAGTCAATCGGGAAAGAAGATATGATTCATTCATGGTATACTAGCTCTAAACTGAAATATTGAAATATACGAGGCACGTTCCAAAATAAACGGGATTTTTTTAAAATTGATGTTTGTAGTGAGGCCATCTATTACAAATTGCATGCGTCGGTACAGATGCTTGTGTCGTCGGTAAAAAAATGAGCATCGAAAAAAGAGCTATATTAAGTTTTCTTTTAAACTTGGTAAAACTTTTACCGAAACGTTTCAATAATTAATGAACAAAGTTTATGGTGAAGATTGTTTATCCCATTGGCAGAGTTCATGCAACATGTTGGCCATCAGAAGTCCATGACTGATGACCAAAAATTGCTCAGAATTCAACATTTGAAGGACATCATCAAGCAGAACAAAAACGTCCTTCAGAACATTGTGACTACTGATGAAACGTGATGTTTTCAATATGATCCAGAAACCAATAAATCAGTTTTACCAAAAAAACTTTTTGTTCTTATTTTAAAAAAGTCCTGTCTGGAACGCACCATGTATGATTTTTATTACTAGAATTTGCCTTTCAAAATTATTGCAAAATTAACCAATTATTGTGGTTTGGTTTGCATTTGTTGCTATTGTTAATTTTCAGATGATTTTTGAGCTTACAAGGATCAAAGCAATTATCTGATGAGACGTACTTGAGTATCTATTTAAATCTTGATTTAACCACGTTGACAGTTCATTTAGGCATGTTGGTAAGCCGCGGTTTATATAATTATCTGAAACTTATTGATCTATAATCCCATTAAAAAATAAAGTTATGGATATGAGACATTTAGTACCTATCAAAAAAGTATTACAAAGCAGTAGGTACTGAACATGTCAATGACTTAGAAACGCTTGTTTCCAGCTATACTGAACAGTGTTAATTGTTATTTCACTTCACTTTCAAGAACTAACAGTCAGTCATTCGTTGATAACCAGTTTTTCACGGAAACTACCTATTTCTATAGAAATAACTTTAACCATTCGAAAACAAGTGGTGATACGTATGATGACAACTTCGTTGGTCACTATTTTACACATATGTTGAACCTGTATGCCTCCACGTTCTACACCTCTAACATCTTCTCCAGGCTCAACCCATAGACCCAGAGCTAACCGCTAAACTGTTAGGCCATGGAGTGGCCGTCTCCCCGGTAGTAACCGTCGAACCAAGAAGGAGGAAATTCCACAAGGCCATAACGTTGAGTATGCCCGCTCCCAGAGCTCATTCTCAGGGGATGATCAACCAGTATTCCGGGTCAGCGCCTACTTTGAGGCTGCTGTGCTCCATCACAGGTAAGTCTCGACGGGTTTCAGCGACGATATTATTGTGTCCGGGGTCAGGATAAGGTCAAAAGTGTGGGGATAATTGTAGAAAGATACAGTACGAATTGTTAACTTACAAACAACACAATTGCAGTTGTAAATGATTTCCAAAGAAGTTACATCTAAATCGAAGTTACTTCCACACTTTTGTCCGTTAAAAAAATTGAACAAATATTCTCAACCCATCCATGAAACCTCCTTCATAACCAATTTGATTTCCAATTTCTATCAAAATATGATTATTCAAACCCAATGTCTTGATGTTGTGTTGTGCCCTCTGTATTTTTGTCAATTGTTTTTGTCGTTAAGGGGTTGGCAAGCTTTTGTTTTTGCGGTAGATATTTCGTAGGTAGAAGTAGTTACCATACAAGTTATTTTTGATTTAGAATAGGTTGTAACTTGGTTAGATTAGTTTTGAAAGCATGTAAATATGCTTTGATTTCAGGATTACGGTAAAAGTGAATCGTTATAGTTTATATCCATAAAAGTAGATTATACTGAGTTAACTTTAGAACATAATGCAGCTGTATACGAGACTAGTGTAATTTATTTAAATTTACAAGACGTATTTAGTGCAGAATGACTGTAATTAACGAAAAACTAAGTTAAAACATTGGTAATTGTTGTAGAGATAGTTTCATAGAAATTTTTAATTGTTGTGCCTCAAAGGGCCTCTTTATTAATTCTGTGTGTATAAATCACGAATATTATATACGAATAATACTTATTTGGGCTTATAAAACGAACAACATGATTTGAATTAGCAGGAATGAAATATTACATATGGAACTACCATATTTTTTAAATATTGGATAAATATGACAGATATCACTGTAAATTTTAACATGCAACAGTTTGCCAGCCTCGCGCTTTGTGTTTTCAAAGATGACGTCATTGTGGCGTCACTTTCCAAATTCTTTGACTTCAGGCAATTCAAAATAATACATACACCATCTATCTACAATTTCACGATCATTTTGTGCGATGTTGTTGTATGGCAAAGTTCTGATTTGGGGAGAAAATGACTTCATACAAGCAAAGCGTAGACAAAATGCGCTGCTAGATGTTGAAAAAATGCTTCTTGCCTATAAAAAGACAGGTGTAGAGGTTTTGCTCATTGCTTGCTTTATTGGCAGCTTCGATAGCTTTGAATTCAACAAACAAAATTGATGTTTTTCTTGCAATAGTCAATCGGAGAAAAATTACTCTGACAGGGTAGGGTGTCTTTAAAGGGTATGTACAACGCTCCACCAGATATAATACGACTTAAAACAAGTCGATTTCACTAAATTTGCCTCAATCCAAAAACTGATAACAACGGGTTTTCCCGTAATTTTTCTGCTTAAAAAAGGTATACCTTGCTAATATCTTTAAAGCCAACAGTTTTCAACAAAAAGGCTTTGAAATTTGTAAATGCATAAAAATTTGTTTAAAAGATTGATAAACAAAATTAGGAGCAAAGAATTATGCCTTTAAAGCAAACAGTGCAATTACAAATATAAATTTCGTTATTTAACAATTTTACTGTATACAGAATTGGCAGAGTACAAAACATACTTTCTAAAAACAATCTATCAGTCTAAAACAATCTAAATAATGCAACCAATCTAAACTGTCTAAAAATCTAAAAAAATAACTGATTATTACTGACCTGTCTTGAAGGATATGTTCAATGGAGTTGAAAATAACTTTTAAACAAATTTTTTATGCATTTACAAATTTAAATGCTTTAGGATATATTTTTAGACTATACCTTTTTCAATCGGAAAAGTTGGGGGAAAAGATTTTTCCGGCCCAAAGTGAAATACAACGTGGTACAAAAAAGTTTTAGTTGTTTAAATGTGTCCTAAATGTCGCTTGTGGCGCCCTCTAGAAGACACAACGAAATCATCGATAAATTCGAATTTCTGATCCCAAAAAACCTCCGGATACGAAATTTCACGAAGTTATCTCGAACTAGTCCAAAGATATTAAAGAAAATGTTATACAGGGTGTATCGTATAAGAACCGACACAGGGCAGGTGTATGTAGGAGTGTCCAAAATATTGTAATTTAACCAAACCAACCAACCCTAGTGGAGCCCTAAATTTCGAAAAAAATTTATATCTCTGCAGTACTTTACCGCAGAAGAACTAAATTTGGTACATGATTTAGGTTTATTACTGGTCTTCCTTGACTATGATTTATAGTTAATTGAAGCACTACAAGGTGTTCATTGGGGATGACTTACCCCTAAAATTGTACCGAACTTTTTTTTTTCATTGACCGAATTGAAAAATACTAATATTAATTCACAGCAGAATTTAATTTTAAATTTTATTTTACTCTTGTTAAATTTTAAAAAAACTTGATGGTTTTCAAGAAAAACCGTATTAACTGATACAAGATTTTAACAGTGTGCATTAGAAAATAATCAAAAAGTCAGTAGTACGCAATGAATTTATCTTTCAAACTTGTCAGTTAGTATTAAAATTATTTTATTTCAATAATTGTTGAAAAAATATCAATTATTATTTTTATTATTTATTTGTGTTTTTTACTTAATACAATATTCGCTTATTTAAAAACTTCTTAGGTACTTGTTTTCTTTTTGTAGAATTAGGACAGAAGTGAAGTAAAATTTATTTGGCCAATTGTTAAATTTGTTTTTCTTCAAAACCATAAAGTTTTTTAAAATTTAACAAGAATAAAATAAAATTTAAAATCAAATTCTGCTGTGAATTAATATTACTATTTTTCAATTCGGTCAATGAAAAAAAAGTTCTGAACAATTTTAGGGGTGAATCATCCCCAATGAACACCTTGTAGTTCTTCAGTTTACTTTAAATCATAGTCAAAGAAGACCAGTAATAAACCTAAATCATGTACCAAATTTGGTTATTCTATGGTAAATTGTCGCAGATATTAATTTTTTTAGGGCCCCACTTTGAGGGCTAATAACTCCTCAAGGGTGCAAGTTTGGTTAAATTACAATATTTCTTCAACTTTGACACCGTGTAGCTCCGTTATTACCAATTTTTGGACTAAGGCAAGTTTATTTAAATCGACTTATTTTGAGCCGTACTATACCTGGTGGAGCGTTGTACAAGACCCTTTAGAGACACCCTCTCAAGAGATAAAAAACCAATCATTCCTCTCATCCATAATTACAGATGTTTTCATTTTCTCCTGAAATTAGACTGAGATAGAAGAGCAACATCGGTATTTTAAATTTTTCCAACACGAACGCATCTCGGAAGGTGCAAAGACTTTTTCCCGTCACCATGACGTCACAGTGTCACTTTTCTAGTAAGACTAATGCGGTATTGTTACAATTTTCACGCGCGTACCCAGGGGTGTTTCGGAAAAGATCTCTCAAAGGTAACTAACTATATTGTGGGCTGCCCCCTTTTAGAATGTATCTATCTTGATGATTTTTTTAAATTTTTTTGTTAGGTATGTGAGAAATGAATGTACGCAGTTGTAAAAATCAAAACCGGAAGAAAAGAATAACGTTCGATTAACGTGTTGCTTGCTCAGAGTCAAAATGTAAATATTTTTCATACTTTTCCACCTAAACCCCTATAGTAAACTGGAGTCCCCATACACTGGACCAAGACTAAGCATGTGGTTGGTGTATAATTTTTCCAAAACGAGATACAAGCAGTAGTTGATGATTTAAGTAAACTGTGTATTTTCACTTCGAATTTTGGATCTATAAATATATTTTCTTTTGCCTCTAGTCGTTAATTTTGTTTTATTTTTGAATCAATTAAGATATCACGAAAACACAAATTGCAATTTCACCTTATAGACTTGCTGCATTTGTTTATTTTTTACGAATTTGTATTTTTTTATCCCTACTCCGTCAGATCAGTCGTTCAATTACACCTTACTTAAAATTCAGGATCAAGGAAGTCAATGATATTAATTCTAAGTTAGTTGCCACGCGACTGGTCTTTTCTGAAACAGTTCGATTGAATGCTTTGCTTCTTGCTTCTTCAACACTTGCATTGCTTGTCGAAACAACCGCTTTTGCTCCAACCGTAAATTTGTTCCAAAGGAATACCGAACGATGAGACGGTGAAAATAAGTGCATGTTGAACAATTTAAGGAATACACCAAAAGACGTACGTAAGAACGTATGCGCTACAAAAATATATTGGATTTAAGTAAGCCTTCAGCTCAGGGTACCAATTGCATGTTGAAGCATTTGATAGACTATTTGTGATGTACTATCGTAAACTACCCTGTTCTAAAGGTGAATCAATACATTTGCATTTTCCTTTGGAGCAATTTCTGGTATTGTCAAGTGTACGGCGATAGAACAAAGTAACCAACATGCACGTCTTTGTGTCGCGACATCTACTAGCACCCACTAAACCAAAACTCATCTGCAGGTGGTACGACTAGAGCACAATGGGAGGACGTAACCGGTTCGACACCCTTAACCTTTGTCAACGACTGCGTGTCATTCACGACCACCGTATCAGCACGATTTTGGCTGATGGACTGCAGAAATATCGGAGACGCAACCAAAATGGCGACAGAACTATATAAGTAAGTATTTGTGACTTTCAACAAGTTTCCTCCTAATTCCATACGTCTATTTGGTGGTAAATTGCATACTAAAATTTTTATTAGGGAAGCCATCCACGTGCCGTTCATGGCCAAATTCGTCGTTTTCGCAAAACGCGTTGATCCGCTAGAAGCTAGACTGAGAGTATTCTGCATGACAGACGACAAAGAGGACAAAACCCTGGAGCAACAAGAGCACTTTACAGAGGTCGCCAAGAGCAGAGACGTAGAGGTACTGGAAGGAAAGTTACAGTACGTAGAGTTTGCCGGCAACTTGGTACCAATTACGAAGAGCGGAGAACAGCTGTCGTTCTCGTTTAGAGCTTTCAGAGAAAATCGACTACCGTTTTCAGTCAGGGTAAAGGACCAACACGCCGAAGCAGTCAGCAGATGTTTGTTTATGAAGGAATCAAAGGTTAGTATACTTTTGTCGACCTTGAAAGAAAACTAAATTCGTACACTTCTCAGGTACCGAAAGGGGAACCCCCTCAACAACCCATCTGCATACTCAACATCGTCCTACCGGACGACATTGTCACTGACACCATCTCCCTGACAGACACGGATTCCCTCAAGAAACACACCTTCCTTTCGGAGAACTTCGACTACTTCCGACCGGACCCGCGACTAGCAGACATGAGCAACCTCCTGGGAGAGGACTGGGTACCTCTGGCTAACCAACTAGGTCTTACCACATCCGAGATAAACGTCATCAAGTCCGAGTATCCCGACAGCGTCGCCAAGCAGGCTCAGTCGATGCTGAGGATGTGGCTGTCACAATCCGGCAACAAAGCACAAACCAACACTCTGGAGAACGCCCTTAAGAGGATAGGAAGGGAGGACATAATACCCCAGTGCCTAAATGTCGACCACACCGGTCAGACGATCACTAGGATAAAACAAGAGGAGATAGGAAAATATAGACTGAAAAAAGATATAGATATTATAGACAAAGACGTAGTGAGAGATGAAATCGTTGAAGCGAAAGTCGTAGCTGATAAAACTGAAGGTAGGTGGTTACTTTTCGTTAAATTTACTTAACCGATTAAAATGTATTTAATTTTCGCAGCTAAGAGGAAGCTAGACGCTTACGACAAGTACTCAGCAGAAGAGAAGGCGGTGGAGAAATCCGACGAGGATGAAGAAGAATCGTTTGACAAGCCGGTGGCCGAGCGAAGGGAGCAGATAGAGAAGCGGCTCTCCGCTGAAAGAACCATTCCTGCCTCTTCACAGAGACGTGAAATCGTCCAGGAGATAACCTCGATCAAGCGACAGAGCATCGTCGAAGACAAGATCGCGGAAGTCCAGCAAAAGACGACACCCGAACAAAAGACCACACCAGAACAACCAAAACCACCAGAATCTAAGAAAACCACCACGACCAAAACCACAACCGTCACGCCGGACGCGCGGACAGTCACCGAAACCGTCGAAGTTAAAACCACAATTCCATCTGACGGTAAAGTTTCGGGGGCAGTGCCGCAGTTCGAGGAGATGAAGACCACCACCACCACAGTTGTGACGGAAACGCGCACAGTCATACCGAATGATACCACACACAGAACCGCAGACGACGCGGAGCTTTTGGAGGGAGTGACCCTCAGCCTGGAGAAGACCAAGGCGCCGGTGTCGAAGCTGATTGCCGACGAAGGTAAAGAACACTTTTAATTTGCACCTTTTTATTAAATTATATATTTGAAACTTTTAACACCCTGTATCTCTGTAGAGAAGCGTCCTATCAAAAATTTTTATAGGGCAAAACTTGATTATTTTCATTAGTAGAATACACCATTAATGTTTGGCTAAACTTATCATTTAGACCCTGTATGTACAGGGTCTCTCAAAAGTATGTGCCTGTGAGGATACAAAAAATTTAAATACAATTTGGGACACGTGGTGTTGAATGGGATCAGGTAAGCTCCATTTTCAATCGAAAGTATTATCTTTGGGATTTGACAGAAACGACTAATGACGTCATCAATTATATTTTTTCCAGAAACAAACCCAATTTTTTTTTCTGCTCTTTTTTCTAATAAACTTTTATTAGAGAAATTTTTCTGTATTACTTCCCGTTTAAAAGTTATAAGCAATATCGTCCTAAAGAGTTTCAAAAGAAATATCACCTAAAAATCACATTAGCAGTAGAAGGATCAAGTAGTCGTGGAAAATAACACATACCAACAAAATTTAACTTTTCTTTAGGAAGCAGAAACTTGAATATACATTTCCGAAGGATTTAGGTGCGCTGAATCCGAATCTGGCAGCAGAATTGCTCTACCACGTCAGATTTTTGAGATATCCTAACCTAAAAGTGCAAAAACACTGATTTTCGTCATATTTGAGGTTATGTAGTAATGCCATCTGTTGTAGGATTTTTAAATTTTTGTCGGTCTGTGTAAACGTATATTTTTAGTAATCTTAATACTTGTTTATTAAGTTAGCTTTGTGGAACCAGTAGGTTCTAGACCACTGTTATTTCTGATAAGTAATCTCTTTATAATTGAAGACAAGTTTATTTTGTATTGTCATCTAGTTGTATGGCTTCCCATAACCTTTAGACTTTCTTTGGTTGTTATTTCATATATCCTGCTTAAAGTACAGATGTTTACGAGTATTTAAAAAAAATTGCTACGATTGCATGAAATTTGTGGATCCTAAAGTTGTTTGTCCAAAAATATGCGCAGAGTTCAAATATGTGGATTGCGTGATTAGGCATAAAATGACTTGACATAATTTAGGGCTTAAGAATATCGAAATTTCCGCAATTCCTGCTTAAAGTACAGATGTTTACGAGTATTTAAAAAAAAAATTGCTACGATTGCATGAAAATTCTTTTGTAACAAGAATTTTGTCCATAAATATACCAAAAAATCCCACTGTGCGTCGTGCTGAAACCATAAGTTTCTCCTTAGCTGAAACGGCACATTCTCCAGGAGTGCAGGAATTTATTCTTTATTTATTTAGGTAACTCACACTGTTCAATGTATGTTCAAAAAAATAACCAATGATGCCGCACCATACATTTATTTCTAAATGGCATTGGTTTTGGACTGGATTTACAATGTGGGGATTTTCAATGGACCAGTAGTGTTCGTTACTGACAAACCGACTTTCGTCCGTCCAAAGAACCTGCCGAAAAAGATTCTGATCAATAGTTTCTACATTTACTTCAATTTAAGCTATAAAATTAAGTCTGTTTTCAATGTGACGCTCAGGCAAATATTCCAAATTCTAAATTTTGTAATCATGATACCCATTGGTCTTTAAAATTCGTTGAACGGCTGATTTATCCAAAGTCAAATCCCGGCTAGCCTGCCGTATAGAATTTCGTGGATTTTGTTCGAAATACTGTAACAGTCGAGCTGTATTAACATTGTTTCTTACCCTTCGGTCAATTATTTGATTTTTCCGAACAGAAAATGCATCTTCATTTCGTTGCAAGGTTGCTTCCAATCTTGTAAAGGTTCTATGATCATGAATGAGGCGCTCTGGATACATTTCTCGATATAACTCTACAGCTCTACTTGAATTTTTTGTGACTCGCCGTAAATTAGCAACTTATCAACTTTTTCTCAATGAGAAAACATTTTGAAAGCACAAAAGTTATACGTTTGACGTTCTTGTTGAGTAATGACAAGTATTTTGTGACATTTATGCACTTTAAACAACGAACATTCAATTATTTTCCAACGACTACTTGAATTTTCCGTCACTAATGAAATCTCATAGATAATAATTTCGATTGAAAATGGAGCTTACCTCATCCCATTTCACACCACGTGTCCCAAATTTTATTTAAATTTTTTGATTCCTCACAGTAGACCAACACTGTCGAGAACTTTAAGCGTTCTTGCGGTTTTTTCTTGAACAAGTCTTACTTTTCGACTTTGAGTATTTTGCCTGCCTTTTTTCATACAACTCTTCTTGTACAGTCACGTGTCCCTTGGTGACCTCTCACATCGTTTGGTTAAGTGAAAAATAAAAGCGGCGCCAGCAAAAACCAGCAAAAATTTAATATCTTTAAACAATTCCTAATATTTGTTTCTACTGTTGAAACATTTATATTCTTTGAAATATAAATACCATACATTTTTCAGATCCGAGATCACCGATGTTCTCCAAAACTCCGCCCCCGAGTCCAGCTGACTTCTTGATAAGGGAACAGGCAGCCACGGTCCAAGGTGAGTCTTTTTCTCCTACACGGCTTGGATTTTTTACCAAAGACGGCTTTCTTAGATGTATGTGTAAGAAATACTCATTATATCTGTCAACAGCATTGTTCGCAGACGCGGTGGGATTTTCGTTTGGTTAAAATGAGTATTTTCTGCACAAAATGTGGCATATCAATAGATCTGCGTATTAAAAACGCCCCGTTCCAATCCGGTTATAAGTCGGAAGTATTAGAAAGAAAACATAAAAGTGTGTCGCCTCGACTTATAGAATTAATACGCCTTCAGTGAACGCCTCGAAGAAGGACACATCGACGAATTTTAATGCTATTTAAGATTAACATAAATCACCACTTTTTATATTAAATTTCCCGAACATGTGGTAATTCTTGTAAAGCATGATCATATTGAAAATAAACTGTACTGATATAAACTCTTATACATTACAGTACGTAGTTTTAAAGAGAAAGACACTTTCTTAGATTTTGTAAATCATTAATCGAAATTTGAAATTAAAACGGTCCAAAAATGGATCCCTGAGGTATGCCGTGGCTCAAAAGGTGAATTATTCATAAAAACATGAAAATAATTTTCTCGTTTTTGTAAAGATTGATCATAATTTAAATAAATTGATGATATAGGGACATAAACTCCTAAACATTAGAGAGCGTGGCAAAATTTGTATTCATAAAAAGGAAAGAAACAGTCTTGATGTCATTTATATTATGGAAAATCATTTATCGTAATTTGGGACTAAAAAGGTCCCACAACAGAACCCTGAGGTACGCCAGATTCCAAAACATTAAATAAACTACACACTGTTTAAGTAAAGATTTTCAATAAAAATTAACAAGTTCTGGCGGTAATATAATAATCTAGATTTTCCTTTTGATCTTATTCAATCAGTTTTCAGTTATTTAGTAAAAATCATAGTTGCAAGTCATTTTTAGGTCGTTGGTACGTTTGTAGATCGATCGAAATAACTCATTTAGAGGGGAAAAAAAAGAAAATGATTACCTGGACTTTTATAAGTGGAAATGATAAAGAGGCTTATAATAAACGAAAAAAAAAATAAATAAAAGTGTGAGCAGGGGCGGCGGAGGGTTGATTTGGGGGGCTGAAAAGTTATGAAAGATTGTATCATTGGGATTTCTGGCGAAAGTTGACGTCATACAAAAAAGTATCTAATACAAAAGTGGTAGATCATGCAAAAATCTACAACTTTTGAAGAGGATACTTTTTAACATAATCTCAAAATTTCCGAGAAAAATGTTTTTTATTTCTTATTTCCGCAAAAATAATTTAATTTTGACGAAACTTGGTCAAAGTATATCTTTCTGTGTCTTAAATAACCACAAAATTTATTAGATAAAAAAATTAAGAAGTTTCCGAGATATTCATTTTTCCGGTCTGAAACACTTTTTCTTCAAAGAAAAATTCTACTTAGAAAAATCATCGTATAGAGTTCTGCCGATGATCATTTTTTTCGTTTTGACATATACTTTTTGGTGAAATAAATGTAATCACAAATCAAAAACATGATGAAAAATGCAAAAAAAAAATAAAAAATGACTTGCAGCAATGCATTTTTCAGAAATTGTTGATAATCTGTTTAAATTTCAAAATAAATCAAAAACTGATTACACCATTCAATTGTACGGAAAAAATACAAAAAAACTGTCTCATTGTTTGACCCAAAACTTTAATTTTGTACAGTATTGCTATAAACATAGGTCGAATAGTGAATAAATAAAATAAATAATAATTTTTTTTCGTATGATCGGTTAGTTACTTATTTTTTTTAAATTTTGATGAATTCACAGATATACAGTATGTCCAAGATAAGGAGGAACAAAGTTGTGTTTTTATACCTAACAATATGCCGTTTAGAAAGTTTTGGCCCATCGAAGAAGAAACGTCGGATTGCAAAAATGTTGACGCCATTGGATAGAGCGGAAAAAGTGGCAATTTATTTAAAATCGGTTTCAAATAAAGGCAGAAAAAAAAATAAAACGATTTTGCAAAATTTTGGGTTTTCGGATTTCGCGTCAACAGTAGACTTTGCAGTTAATACTTTGTATTGCTGAAATCTCAAATCATCCAGAGATAATTTATCATTTGTACATTTGTAATTCGACTTAGATGTTTATAGCAATACTGTACAAAAATAAAGTTTTGGGTCAAACAATGAGACACGGTTTATTTTAATTTTTTTCCGTAGAATTTAATGGTGTAATCTGTTTTTGAATGTTTTTTAATTTAAACAAATTATCAACAATAACTGAAAAATTCATTGTTGCAAGTCATTTTTTATTTTTTTTTGCATTTTTGAGCATGTTTTTGAACTGTGATTACAGATTTTTTTATTTCACCAAAAAGTATGTTAAAACGAAAAAAATTATTAGCGGCAGAACTCTGTACGATTATTTTTCTAAGCAGAATTTTTCTTTGAAAAAAAAGTGTTTCAGGTCGAAAAAAATGAATAACTCAGAAACTTCTTCATTTTTTTATCTAAAAAAATTTGTGGTTATTTAAGACACATAGAGGTATATTTTCACCAAGTTTCGTCGAAATTAAATTATTTTTGCGGAAATGAGAAATAAAAAACGAAAAATAAAAAAAAAATGTTTTTCGCATTCTTCTCGGAAATTTTGAGGTTATGTTAAAAAGTGGACTCTACTTTTTTGTTTGACGTCAACTTTCGCCAGAAATCCCAATGATACAATTTTTCATAACTTTTCAACCCCCCAAATCAACCCTCCGCCGCCCCTGCTCACGCATTTACTTTTCTTAGGTGTATTATAAGCCCTTTTACCATTTCCACTTATAAGAGTCCAGGTAACATTTTTTTTTCTCCAAGTGTAATTTGGTTGGACTAATGTGTGTGGCGTAAAACTGTATTTAAAAAAAATAGTATCGATTACATCAATACCGATTTGACCGACATGACTCAATTACTTGAATATCGTATGGCTTCCTGGTTATTGGATTAAATTTCATACCTTTACCTTCGAGAAGCAGTCGATTGATTATCGCCGTCTGCGTAACTTACTCCGGTAGAGACACACCGCGTCGCGCGCTTCGAAAGTGACTCCTATTTTTCAATTTTTCAGGCCAGGCAGGGTAAGTAACTTTGATGTCTTAGCGGTCTTTTTATATTAACAATATGCCATGTATCCCACACGTACTTGATATGCCACATTTAAATGGAGTTTGCAGTCGGTTGAACAAGTTAGATTTTTAGTTGTCGGCGCTCGTTTCGATCTTTGAGAAACGGGCGTCACGTAGTACTGATTTTTGCCATTATTTTGAAGGATAATGTTTAGTATGTACAAACCTCTGTATATCCCTGTGTCCCCGCTTATGCAAAATGACAACCGACTTGACTTAACCGAGCCCTGAGTAATATTGTGAGAGAGCGTTGTCATTTTGTGTGACGTTATTAACACTAACTACATTATACAAAATAACACTATAAATGTGCAACATGCTTTGGTGCAAAGAAAGCTTCAGCTAACAAACAAAGGAAGCGATAATTCATAACTCTGACGACTAACACTGCGGTGTACTAACATAAGTCCGGCCCGATTCAGAAGTAGCAGAAAATAAATCATCCGGAGGGCTGATCTACAGTGCTATGAATGCTTTGAGAGCTTTTTAATCACAGCTTTTTGTAAATTGCGGTACTGCTTTTTTCTACTTCTCTGAAGTTCTTCTATGTGTCAGGTTATAAAATCTAGCGGAGAAAATAAACCATAAAATATAATTCCACCATTTAAAGCACATCATAAATTATTATACAGGGTGTCTCGCTAACGTCGGCGAGGTACGATATTAAGGAAAGTATAGGCCCTAGAGCTTCGGGAAAAAATTTTCGTAGAATATATCGACCAAAAGAAATCGCTGGAAACTGTTTTCAAGTTCGTAGCTCGGCCGCTAGGGGACGCAATAAACATACCAAAACATAGAGTTGAATTTTTCTCAGAAATGTTTCCTATTGAGGTATATTATGGCGGTTTTCCACTAAACGAACAGTGGAGTTTATGTCCTGTTTGTGTTTTCTAGAACAAAACAAAAACAAAACTGAAACAAACCCAAAACTCCTGTTTCCATCAAGCGGGCTAGATTTTGTTCCGAGTTTTGTTTTTGTTTTCAGTCCTTTTCCACTGGTTGTCGCGAGGGAGTCAGAACACATTTTTCCAATAACCAGCCAACTTGTTTAGAGAAGATTTTTTTATTCTTAGTTATGGCTGGTTTATATTGAAGTCCTTGGAAAAAAAGTGTATCTACAGAGTATCCCACCTCGAACTCCATCGATGGATATCTGGGAAACCGTTCAAAGATTTTTTTTTAAATTGTGATGGTGTGATACGGATCGTGGGGCCCACCAAGTTAAAATATTTTCAAGGTCATCGTACTTCCGGTTAAACCGGAAGTCGATACAAACTTTCTTATTTTAAATGGAACCCCCTGTATATTATATTTGGAAACATCATCCATTTTTAAGTTGAAAACGTATAGCACACTCCGTACTTAGGATTGACCGTTTCCGAGATATTTCGATTTTTAAACAAAAATTGACAGATGCAGACTGTCAGCAAAATTTAGTTTTCCTGGTTTATTTTTTTGTGCAAATTGGACATTTTATACAAAAAGACCTACTTTATCGAATTTGACATGAAAATTTTCCAGTTTTTATACAGGGTGGTCAAAAAAACTTATCGAATATGAAGTTCAGAATATGTGGAAAACTCGAAATTTTTAAATGGAAACTCCAAATTTTTTTGCAATAATATACAGGTGGTACCATTTAAAGTAAGAAAGTTAGTATCAACTTCCGGTATAACCGGATGACCTTGAAAATATTTTAGCTTGGTAGGCTCCACAGTCCGTATCACGCCGTCACAATTTCAAAAAAATCCTTCGAGCGGTTTCCCAGATATCCATCGATGAAGTTCGTGGTATATGTAGGGTTAAAGTGTTTACTTGGTTAGTTTGTATCCTAGCCAAGT